TATTCCGAACGGAAAAACGGACAAAGCTATTCTATCGATATCGAAACCAGACAGTATTTTAAATGAGCGTAGATAATGACCGTTAGTCATGTATATCTGTCGCATATCGTCGGTAATCAATTTTTGTTAGAAGCTTTACTTTGTACTTTCCCCCTTACAATTACACAACAATGTTTTTTTTTTTCGACTAACAGTTGCCTAAATGTATCACCGAATTTTACCACTCGAAACAATTAATTATTTTACCTCCGTAAAATTTACGTGATTTTCAAAATCAAATATTCTAAACTTGAATCGTTCTCATACAAAGCCGAACATCAATTAAGCACAACTACGCTTCCACAATTAAATTTTTATAACGACTTGTTGTTATACATTGAAATTTATCGACGAGAGTACATATATTTATTAAGCGCGATTAATTTGACGCCGTAGAAAGATCCTTCGATTAAATGTCAAAAAGCAACTCTTCCTCTCGACTTTGCTCTAGACCGAAAAAAGTGACACGAAATACTCTTGTATTCAGAGACACTCGCGCGCACCCACGTTCACGCACACACCCACACACACGCGCACACGTACACTTTTAACCCAAACAAAAAAATTATTGTTATCGATGTCTACGATAAATTGTTAAACCAAAGGGCGGAAGCGGCACCGAATCTCAGAATCGTTGTCGCTTCAGGCTGATTTGTAATTAATGTTTAACGATATTTATTATATTTTTTTTTCTAATAGCGTATACCGTGTATGTGTTTCCTGTCGTGATTACCCTACCATTTCCTCTTTCCTCTTTCCTCGATAGAGACTTTAAGGATAACGAATTCTCGTGTCGCTTCTCACTCTCTTGTACCTTTTAAACGGGCGCTCCATTAGGCGCTCGGCGTATCTAATTAATTAATTCCCTAATACGTTGTACTCGGTCCGATTGTTTAACTGCATATACGAGCTAAAAAATCGATTTTGGCTATTGTTACTCGTGAGATTGTAAAACACCTACTCTCCACTTCTTGTATCGGGTGGCATCGCGATATCTCGTCCGCTCGTATTTTTCACTCGTTGTCGAGCCGGCGGTGACACGACGCGACGATGATTTACTACTCTGATTATACGAACGCACAATAGAAAATCGATGTACAGTTCAATGGGGAAATTAATCGTGCGAGAGAAACGCGAAAAAATTTATAAATGAGGATACGCGGTCAAGCTATCATCTCTGGGAAATCACAGGGTTTTTATATCAAATACGTTAAAGCGCATTTATTGGAAATGGAGGCTGGTAATTAATTTCAGTGAAAATTTAGACAAAGATATTTTATTATAATTAAATTAAAAATATCACAAGAACTGCAATAATTGGATTATCTCGAATACCGGGGGCTGAGATTTTGCGATGCAGCCATCGAATTAACTTCTTCCGCTCGATGCGACATTGCGATTATACGGCAATTTTGTACATGCGATGCACGACTAAAAGAGACGTTACATCATTAACAAACACGGTTTTTTGAAAACACGGCGAAACCCCTTTGCGGGACTCTCGGTATATAGAAACGTCTTTTAGATCGGCAGCTCAAATAGCTAAATAAATAAATTTATTACGAATAACGCGATTATTAAATAAAAATACTCATTATAAAAAGTAAAGTAAATTTTAAAAATATATAGAAATATTGAATGTATCGTTAGATAGAAAGAATTTCTCATCGACAAAAAAATTATGTGACAAAAAATTTGTGTACGTTACGTATTTGATAGTGAATGCAATTTTTATATTGTAGGATTTATATAATATATCGTTACGACTTCATAGGATAATAGTAGAGTTAGATAAATTGTTGTGATTTAAATAATTTATATCTTTACATTCCTTTTTACATCTGAGATCTCGATAAAAGAGTTTTATTGTACCGAGAGTTGCAATACATGTTAATGCGTTATCGTCGGAAAGGGGTTAAAGGGATCAAAGAGCTCGTAGCTTAAAACCACATATACGTTACGTACACGCTTCCATCGCGTCTCTATGCACATTGTTGTAAATTGCGGACAGACGTTATTAAAACGTTGGAACGAAACTCATGGCATTTTCTCGATCAATATGAGTTAATGGCCAGCCTGTGTTACTTTTAGCGTGTAACATGTTCAGCGATGAACATAATTGTTCAAAAAGGATTTTTTCTGCTAATATACAATTTCTCTTTATAAATTTGGTTCATCAATTGCATTTTATCGTCAAATATAAATCTCACGTCGATGCTTTGCCATAAAAAGTACGCGGTTAAATTAATTTTGCATAATTTACTTTTTTCTGTTGTATATCTTACTTAAAAAATGTAAACAGTAATGGGATAAGTTTTAACAATGTTATAAAAGATTCAAGTTTGACTCGTCTCGAACGCTGGACGTACATCTAAAAGTAACCGGCAAGTGAAGCTCACTAAATAATAATCCACGATTTGCGTTCGTGGCGCGACCAATGTTATGTCAAGCAACAAAAAGCAATAATTCTCATGCGTTGAGGAAAATCAACTTGCGAATCAATCACGATCGCGCTCTCGCAAATAACACGAAAAATTCAAAATTTATGCGAGAAACACGAAGATCGCTTGAAAAAGAGAGCTCGATCGGATCGAGAGTAAGAGAACAAACATCGAGATATGTATACGTCGCGTCAGAGAAAGATGTAATCGATTTCTGACAAAAGATGACGTAAGCTCGCATGACTAAAACGAAAAAAAGCAAAAGGGGAGAGGGTGATGCAACGCCGGGATCTCGAGGAGACGATCGCGCATCGCGTCTGTTTTGTTCCGCAACGATAGAGGATTTCCCGCCCTCCGCGTTGTATGATTCTCGCGGGAATAAAAAGATATATAGGCGATATGTTATATAGATCGCTCGTACGCGTTTCACGCGCGCAGTTACATATATTATATAACTACGTAATTGCGTGAGAAGCGCGTGGGCAGCGTGATCCGACGCGCGATCGTCTCATTGATGGCTCATTTCCGGCGCCCTCCGCGCCGCCTCGGCACGAAGCGTGGCCCTAAATCACATTTTTATGGCAACGCTCGCGAGACGGCCGAGCAACGGAGTCGAATTTGCGCGCCACATTTTGCCAAATTGGTTATCATTATCAGAATCCCCAGAACTCGGAGTCCGATCAATGACCGTTTTATGTTTGAATTGGTCGAATCAAATGTAATGAAGTGGCAAAATCAATTAGAAGTGGTACAAAAATAAGGCAAATTTAAATAGGAGATGTATTACAAATGGCAAAATAATCGCGGATATTTTATCAACATGTTATATCCATTTGTCCATTTGTTTATGTTATAAATATGAAATAGAAATATGTGAGTTTTAATCTTTACTATATATTAATCTAATATTGTAAGAAACAATATATAATAATTTTATTTATCATAAAGAATTTATTTAAAACAATGTACAATTTTTTAATATAGGCATATATTCCGCAACGCGATAAATGCCATTTTATTATAAAACCATTTTAGTGGTAGTCGAACTCTTACTTCTAGGGGCTCTAATCATTAATAATCAGCGAAAAGTGCCCCGCGAGCCATATCCGTCATTCACGTATCAGTTATTCTGCAAGCGAAATGCAAACGTAAATTTCTGTCGACGCTCGTTCGCGGTATGATTAACGAAAAACGAGCCCAGATGAAATTCCTTCTGGAGATGCACTTTATGAAAAAAAATTTAGAAGTTGTTTTCGACTTGACTGCGACGAGACAGCGCGGAGATATCGGTAGTGTTACGGTGAAGTTACGGAAGAAGTTTAAGTTTTACGGGATGACGAATCGTTTCCTTTTTTTTCTTCTTCTTGAATTGCGATAAAGCTCCGAGCTTCGTAAACACCCGGTATATCGAAGGATTATCGAGGCCGAAACGACACGGAAGAGTCGATCGTGGTGTTGGAGATGATAATTATAAAGGTTTCATCAACGACTCGATGATTAATCTTAAATCTTTTGTATGTTTATATGCAGTTAAATGATGTGTACATAATTATGTAATTCAGTGTCGTGAAATTTAAACCGATTGTAATACCTACACGTATCTCCGTTAGCGGAAAGCATGTGCTTCAAATTATCCTTGTAATTTCGTAAGATGATTAAACGGACCTTTGAAAGATCTTTGTTGTGTTGTCGATTGCCTGTATTCTAAGGGCGAGTTTGATCAAACTTTGATTAACTTAATCGGCGATTAATTCAAACAAAGTTACTTAAAGCCAAATTTCTAGAGGAATATTCTCCTCTGATCAATACGTCATGTATGTTTCAATCGAATAAGCATTTTATAATTTTTATTTTACCATTAAAAAGAAAATTTAATGACCCGTGAAATTAACAATAATAAAATAGAACGTGACACCTGCGAATTCAATATTAATGATGTTAATATTATTAATATCATTATATATTATTCATATTATTCTTATTTTATTATTCTTATTTATTTAATATTGTTGATATCATCTTACTTTGTTATTTTAAATGTTGAAAACAGTTCTAAAAATAAATTATTTATTGGGATAACACCGCTTTAAAAATACACCAATAAAAATAATCGAAGTTCGAACGAAGTTACTTCAAATCGATATGAATTGTTTCCTTTTCCCTTTCATGCTCTTTACGTGCTACAGTAATAAATCTAACGGTATTGTTAGATATTTATTTGCTTATTCGATTAACGTGAATTTCCGTATTCCCGCTAAATGATGCGCCACGTAATCGCCGTCATGCCGCCCGAAATTCGATTGAACGTGTTGCGACGTCGGACGCATGCGCCCGTTAAAGTCTCTGCTAAACAAACATGGCCACCGCCGATTTCTTCGCGCGGGCGTTTCTTGCGAGCGGCAAACGATACGAGTATTGCCATCTAACGATGACTTGGCGATCTCAGAAACTCAAATTATATATCGACTACTGATAATATAGATCGCTACCATTATCAATAATACAAAAAATGTTACGAGTGGCCGCTGTCTGTCGTTCATCTCGTTTATCTCTCTAACTCTTGCCGACTTTGAGGAATAGTGATGTCGCTGAATTTGGCGGTTAAAATTTCAAAGCTTGAGTGACGGATAACCTGCGATGGTCTGACAGATTGTTCTTCACGATGTTGGGCACCGCCGGAATAACCGCCGTGCACATTAAAAAGTTGGGTAAGAAGCGAGGGAAGACAGTTGATTATCTGGAAAAACTGAAATCAATGCACGTCCATCTTATCGTACGTGATTCTTTGACACTTCTCTTTTTCTAGGCCATACTATCGATGAGATACGACTGCGTGCTTTGGATAATATTATTTCCAAGTACGAGCTGGGTTTTGTATGCGAGTGCGATGCTGTCAAAAAGGAGATAATCCAAAGACTGTTCAATTGGTTTTCGTTTGACACTACGCCACAGCCGGAGAAAGTACTGAACTTGTTGTTGCGGCTGTTAAAGGTACTTCGATTTAAACTTTAGTATAAACATAAGATTAATTTCGAGATCAAAAATGGTTTAATGTGACTTGATTGATATCTGTTTAATTTTAAAATGTGATAAAATTATTTATAATATTTGATAAAAAAATTTACCTCAAATAACATTTCAGAGTCTATAGCATACTTTTTAACTTATGATCTGAAGAGTTTTAATTAATATATGATCTTTGTTTTAAGGCAGATGCAAAGAGTTACTTGAATGCATTTGGCAAGTTAAAGTTCCAAAATGAGCTTTATGAATTAAGAAGAAAACTTTCCCCAGAATGGTATGCAAAATTAGATGAGATTGAAGAAGCTGTTCTACATATAGAAAATAATCGAGTG